CACTTAAAAGAATCTCCCTGTATAGTCTATCAGAGTACATCGTATTCTATTAACATTATAATTTATAAAAATTACCATTGATATTTAGGTAGTGTATAATTCAATGAAAGCTAGCTGAAACTTAAATCACAGATAAAGTACTTAYTTTCGTCTTTCATGGAAATTCGGTCTAATGAGTAAATTCAGAGTTTGGTGAAAATATAAAAAAATACGGATGATGGGGAGTGCTCTAACACCCATATCACCCCCCCCCCTAAATACGCCCCTGATATGCATATATATAAACATTAATTTATACATTTAAATTTTTGAGATAATAAGGTGTAGAAAACTAATTTCTTTAATAACAAATAAACGGGGACACGATGGCCATAAAATATAAACGAATTGTGTTTTATTTTACTAAATAACTGTATAAATAATTGAAAATAAAAATTCTTTTGACATAAAATAAGAACCAATTATCGATTACAAATGACGACRAAYTTCTAATTAAATTGGAGATAATCTTTCTTCGAAAAATATCAAGAGATWAGTAGATGCAAATATACATTGAGAGATAGTGAGATAATACATACTTCATGTGACATGAAATTTACACCTTTGCTTGGTAATAGCCTGATTATTGTGTTATATCAAAATAACATCATTTTCAATTATTTTACAACGATAATAATCGATGATACATATCATTGCATTCAAGTCAGAGGTCCACCCCACCACCTAATGTACAGCAGAGCGATACCCACTTTGGCCACTTTCCCGCTTTTTTGAATTAACAATATATGCATTTATTAACTTTATCTTCATCCTGTGATGATGAATAATTTATTATTTAAAATTACGTAAAAATAAAACAATTATAAATTACAACCAAACGAACGGCGATATAGATAGGCAATTTAGCTACATTTCAGTTGTGCCGTGTATTTTTTCAAGTTATGTTTATTATAGACATTATTATAGGTATGTAGCTATATTGTAATGACGTTAAATTTTATTACTTACAAGTCATTCATTATTATATTATGATAACAGATATGATATTATGTTGTTATACTATAAGAATATTATAAGAAATAARCCATATAACATTACACTGTTACAATTTATTTATGTTCACCACTTCACCAGATCTGAAAATGATATTAATTTTAAATAATTATAATTTTATAAGGTTATAGTTACTTTATTAATCAGATTTATTATTTTAATATTAAATATATTAACAGTAGGTACATTTAGTGAAAATGAAAAGTAATTTTCGTATATAGAATTTATATTATTTAATATATTTAACTATTTTCTACAAAATTAAGCTGTTAGTTTTTATGTTGTTCACTATGCTTTTGAAAATAATCATGTTTTTGTTACTGTATACTCCTCTCAAAAAAGCTGTCTACTATACAATTATTTTATTTTATTTTCCCAACTAGATTATAATGTTGTATAAAAAAAAACCCTTATTTTAAATTATAATCAGGGAGGTACCTACCAAATTTGTTGTGTGATAAGAATTATTGATGTCATTATATGTTTATCAGTTTATAGATAAATCATTGGTATAAATATACACCTAAAATGCTTTAAAAGTATTTTCACCCTGGGCCTCGCAAATCCTAAGGAGGGCCATGATTGCCATCGCTTGTTTACCATTATAAGATTATACACGTGTTAAGGCCATTTAATTCGCAATTATTAGTGTAGAGGCCAAAGTCTGAGTAACTTAAAAAAACACATCCTTAAAAAGCACATGAACTTTGTGAAAGAGTGTCCAAATGTTATAAATCATTTTTCTCAATTATCACATCCAAGCCATGATACTTCTCTAACACCTTATCTTTTAAATTTGAAGGATCAAAATTGTTTAAAAGAGATTTTATTAGGTTGGAACATGGAATTTTTGCATGAAACTTGCTGAGGTTAATATTATGATGAATGAAATTTCCAATTAATTTTCATAACAATAACAAATAACATAACAATAAAATACTTTAAATTAAAATATTGTTTGAGTAATAATATCAGTTACCTACTGAGAATAAATTATAAAAATTTAAATTTACAAAGACTTGAGTATTATACTTTTTTTACATGATTTTTATATTTTGATTTTTAATATAGTTTTATATAATTAGATAATCGCTTAGTTTAAAACATGTAGTTGACCATTTAAGTGTTTATAATATTTGGGTCTAGAATTTTAATTTTTAGAACTTTTGTACACAGTAATAATTTACGATATTATTTATAAATATTTGTTATTATTTATTATTATAAACACTTTGCTTTAGCTGAATGTGTTGATAGAGCGTTAAAATTCATAAGTACTAGTCGAGTTGAAAAGCTTTTATCAAAGTATCTATAGGGAGTGATAATAAAATTTGAGAAAAATCTCAAGCAATTGCGAAATGAACCAGAAGTTGTTTCTGTTGATGTAACGAAAACATCACCTGTGTCCACTTTATTATTTTCCAACATACAAGTGCAATCAAATTGTTATGTATTTCCACAATTTTCATTATACAATGTGCTTAGTAATAGTTCTCATGGTGCCATGATAACAAACTATTACAAGGGAAATAAGAGTTTAAACAAATCATGCCGCAGTTTAAATGTTTAATGATTTACTTAATAATATTTAGTCTCATTGAACAGTCTCTATCTATGTCTGTTGGTCTGGCAGATACTATAACTAAGACACTTTTTGAAACTTTTATAATAGAGTTGAAGATACCTATCTAAAAAAATTAAATAACAGTATTGGAACATTTTAAGTACTTATATAAATATATCTGATGTTAATTTTTTCATGCATGTATATTGTATATGCATTTCTTTGTGATCTACAGTCTATATTTTAATTTATGTTTAMTGATATTTATTGATGATACTTCCCCACACCCTATAAAATAGTATAAATACACCTCTGGCCATCTACAACCATATGCCACCAACGCAGTGGACTAGGATGAGATAGTAATTTATTAAAAGTTTTTTTTACATAGTTATACACTTAAGAATAATAATACTGGAGGGTTACAGAAAATTGTTTAATTTCTTCAGTATAAGGCTGCTTTTTTCCAGACAGACCATTTTTAATGAGTTTTTCTAGTACATCTGAACCCAGTGCCTGATAAAAAAAAAGTAATTTTAAAATGATATGGTAAATTATGAATATTAATTTTAAAAAAAAAAATAAAAAAATTTAGTAAAATTTAAAAACAAAATTATATTATGTTACAAAAAGTACAATGTTATAATAATTACTACATGTCCAAAAGATACTAAAATATACAAAAAGATACTATACTTTATATCATTAAGAGTAACATTCAAGGATACTATACCATATGGATAATATACCAGCGTTTCCAAATCATGTGTCGCGATTCGCAGTTACGATTACAATTTTCATAGTTTACCAATTTTTTTGTATTTTTTGGTACAAACTTTTACTTTTGTTTCAAATATTTATTTATTTTTTCTCAGTTGTGAAACAGTTATTTTAATTACTTTAAAATTTTTTGTAGCACGATTTGGTGTTTTAAAATCTCTTACACTCAAATCATCAAATTGGATTACTATTTTAAATAAGTTTTTTTAGGACATATTGTGTTAACAAATTCCATTAAAATTAAATTTGAGTGTTTTAGTGTAGGTTAATAATCTTAAAAAATATTAAACATATTAAATATATTTTGGGAGTAGTCACTTCACAAATTAATTTTACCCTCTTCCATTAAGATGATCTATAACTCATGGAACAACACTAAAATGAGTTTTTGTTTAACTTTGTTT